ATGCTAGCCCAGGGTGATTCGCGATAGAATCTGATATGACAGACGAATCTCTGCCGTGATAGATCGAATTCGAATATTTCTCCACTGTGATAGGTCGAATCTGCATGATCTCTTTGTTAGAATCCTAGCGTGACTTAGGAGCCATGGCAAGTGAGTGTCGAGAGGATTGAGTGTCGAGAGAATTGGAAAGGAGAATGAGTGGTTTCACTATGGAAAGTTGGGATACAAATAACAAACCCTAAATTGGGTTGTACTCACTAGAGAGTACCCCACTGCAGGCTAGACAGCAAATACATTCTGACACACCCCCATAGTCAAAGTGGGGTATAATCAGCAGAGCAAGCAGTCATAGAGCAGGTTCACAAGTACAAGCAAAGCTAGAGGCATTCACAAAGGGCAAGTGAGAAGGAGGAGGCTGGACTGTGAGAGGAGAGGAGATAGGAGGCGACGGCTGATGCTGCAGACACACGGGCAACAGGAGCGGCGCGCACTGTGGCTACCGGGGCCGTATCCCCGGACTACAGGTTTAACTGGCTCTGCGGCTAACTCTGAGCGGCAGGAGCAACGGACCCACAGGCGACAGGCGCAGCAGGCTCCCTGAGCTACCAGAAGAAGAGCCCCGGACTACAGGTGCTGCGGACTACAAGACGGCAGCCTCCACTCAACCTCCCCCAACTGTCCCACCCCCTTTACACACACCCCTTGCTGCACCCCTAGCTCCACTCCCACTTCACCCCCCTAGCACCACTCCCTCGGCTCCCACACACCCACCCCCCTCAGCGGCAGCTGCAGCAGTGGGAGACGGAGGAGGAGGAGGAGGAGCAGGGGACGGTTCACACACCCGCCACCCCCATACCCTCCCCCCACTGCTGCACCTGCAACAGGGAATGGAGGAGAAAGGGGGGGGGGGGGGGCTGTGCATGGCGTGTGCAGAGGGCAGCAGGGCGCATGGGGCGCACAGGGCAGCAGGGCGCACAGGGCAGCAGGGCAGTAGGGCGCGCGGGGCGCACAGGGCTGCAGGGCAGCAGGGCGCGCGGGGCAAACAGGGCAGCAGGGAGCACAGGGCTGCAGGGCAGCAGGGCGCACAGGGCTGCAGGGCAGCAGGGCGCGCGGGGCTGCAGTGCGCGCAGGGCGCGCAGGGCAGCAGGACAGCAGGGCGCGCAGGGCGCGCAGGGCTGCAGGGCAGCACAGGGCTGCAGATCCCCTCCCCCCCACCGCTGCACCCGCAGCAGGGGGATGGAGGAGAAGTGGGGGGGGGGGGCTGGGGGGGGGGGGGAGGAGGGGGGGGGGGGGGGGGGGCTGATGCTGCAACTCCCCTCCCCCCCACTGCTGCACCCGCAGCAGGGGTGGAGGAGAAAGGGGGGGGGGCGGGGGGGGGCTGGTGCTGCAGATCCCCTCCTGCCTCCCCCTGAACCTCCAAGCTCCCCCCCCCCCCTCCCAACACAGGGTGCGGCAGGGAGAGAGAGAGGAGAAAAGGGCGGGGGGGGGGGCTGATGCTGCAAATCCCCTCCCCCCACTGCTGCTGCAGATCCCCTCCCCCCCACTGCTGCACCCGCAGCAGGGGTGGAGGAGAAAGGGGGGGGGGGCGGGGGGGGCTGGTGCTGCAGATCCCCTCCTGCCTCCCTCTGAACCTCCAAGCTCCCCCCCCCTCCCAACACAGGGTGCGGCAGGGAGAGAGAGAGGAGAAAAGGGCGGGGGTGGGGGGGGGGGGGGGGGGGGGTGCAGGAGCCGCTCGGGCGACAGCAGGACACGCCACACCCGCCACCCCCATACCCTCCCCCCCAACTGCTGCACCCGCAGCAGAGAGATGGGGGAGAAGGGGGGGGCGGGGGGGGGGGGGGGGGGGGCTGGTGGTGCAGGTCCCCTCCCCCCACTGCCGCATCCGCAGCAGGGGGAGATAGGAGAAGGGGGGGGGGGGGGGGGGGGGGCTGGTGCTGCAGATCCCCTCCCCCCCCACTGCTGCACCCGCAGCAGGGGGGAGGTAGGAGAAGGGGCGGTGCAGGAGCCGCTCGGGCGACAGCAGGTTGGCCACACCCGCCACCCCCATACCCTCCCCCCACTGCTGCACCCGCAGCAGAGAGATGGAGGAGAAGGGGTGGGGGGGGCGGGGGGGGGCTGGTGCTGCAGATCCCCTCCTGCCTCCTCCTGAACCTCCAAGCTCCCCCCCCTCTCCCACCACAAGGTGCGGCAGGGAGAGAGAGAGGAGGAGGCGTGGCGGCAGCTGCTGCTGCTGAGGCACATCCGCCACCCCCTCACACCCTCTCCCCGCCATCCCCATGGAGGGGGGGGAGGGGGGGGAGGGGGGCGGGGGCGGAGCTGTGCGTGCGACTGTAGGGCACGCGGGCAGGAGGAACCCCCTCTTGCCACCCCCTCACCCACCATGTTGCAACAGGGCACCGGGGCCGCGATTAGGGGCGGCAGGTCGCGAGGGGCCATGGCTAGGGGCGACGGGGCCATGGCTAGGGACGGGGCCGGGCGCTGGGCAGGTACGGGGCTGGGCTCTGGGCAGGTACGGGGCCGGGCTCTGGGCAGGTACGGGGCCGGGCGCTGGGCAGGTACAGGGCCGGGCGCTGGGCAGGTACGGGGCCGGGCGCTGGGCAGGTACGGGGCCGGGCACTGGGCAGGTACAGGGCCGGGCGCTGGGCAGGTACAGGCTGGGCGCGGGGCTAAGTACGGGCCGAGCGCGGGCGAGAGACGGGGCCGGGCGCGGGCAGGGTACGGGCCGGTCGCGAGGCTAGGTACGGGCCGGGCGCGGGGCTAGGAACGGGGCCGAGCGCGGGCAGGGTACGGGCCGGTCGCGAGGCTAGGTACGGGCCGGGCGTTGGGCGCGGAACGGAGGCCGGGCGCGAGGTTAGGTACGGACCGATCGCGGGCTAGGTACGGGGCCAGGCGCGGGCTAGGTACGGGGCCGGGCGCGAGGCTAGGTGCGGGCCGATCGCGGGCTAGGTACGGGGCCAAGCGCGGGCGAGGTACGGGCCGGGCGCGGGGCTAGGAATGGGGCCGAGCGCGGGCTAGGTACAGGCCGATCGCGGGCTAAGTACGGGCCGGGCGCGGGGCGACGGAGTCGACGGGGCCAGCGGGGCCGAGGGGCGCGGCTAGGGGCGACGGGGCCAACGGGGCCGAGTGTCACAGCTAGGGGCGACGGGGCCAAGGGGCCGAGCCTAGGGGCTAGGGGCTACGCCAAGGGGCGACGGGCCGGGGCCTAGGCTAGCAGGGCATTAGGTGGTGGGCCCATTGATGTTAGGTCCTAGAACTTATTGCTCTTAATACCATGTTAGAATCCTAGCGTGACTTAGGAGCCATGGCAAGTGAGTGTCGAGAGGATTGAGTGTCGAGAGAATTGGAAAGGAGAATGAGTTGTTTCACTATAGAAAGTTGGGATACAAATAGCAAACCCTAAATTGGGTTGTACTCACTACAGAGTACCCCACTGCAGGCTAAACAGCAAATACATTCTGACACTCTTCTGTGATAGGTTGAAAATGCACTGACAAGTCGAATTTGGTCTTGCTGGAGGAATTTGGCGTGGCATGGCAGGTCAACAACGAATCTACAGATTGTACTTTGATTGGTCGAACAGGCCTTGGTAAAAAAAACTCACGCGTCATACTGGAAAAACGAAAAATCTGATGGATCAGGCAGCTTTGGATCCTAGCGAGGAAGACCCTGGTTGTACTCACGTGCTGGCGTTGTCAGGGCCTATTTTATCAGTGTAATTTACACTGCTATACTGATTATAAGGGTGAAATTTAGGGCCTGCACTGATGTGTTTGGGTATTTTTTTGGCGGATTAGTGTTACACTGATATGTCAGTGTAACGATTTAGGCCACACTGATGCTCTGGGGTAATATTTCCCTTAGCGAAGATTACCCTGAAGAGCGTATAGGGAACTCCCCCTTCCTGAAACTCGACTTATCGAAACGAAGTTTCCTGGAAATCTCGTCCTGATACACCCAATTTCGTAACTGCCAACTTAATCTTAGCACATCCACAGGACATTCGGTGTATTCTGTAGTTTACTAATTTGTGAAACCTACGATTTCATAACGAATCACATCTTGTGCTAGCCTAAATTGCTTCACGCCACCATTTGGCCATACATGGGCTGCTGGCTAGACAAAGTCGAACGACCAGCATTCAGAAAGTGAGAGCTGGGCTGGGAGGTCATCAGTGCGGCGTCAGATAGTAGCTCGATGCGGTCGCTTCAAAGCGACAGACAGGGCGACGAGACAGCGACGGACGGCAACGAGGCAATGACAGACAGGGCGACGAGATGGCGACGAAACAGTGACAAACAGAGCGACAGTAGACGACGAAACAACGACAGGCAGAACGACAGTAGACGACAAACAGCGACAGGCAGAGCGATAGTAGACGACGAGAGCAAGAAAAGCCGATTCGCGATGACGGAGAGCCGCGACAGCAGAGGCGCGAGGAGCAGCAGCAATGGCGGATGGGGGAAGCACGCGCGCGCAGGTGGGGCTCTTGGCGGCGTCACAGAAACAGAACCGTCGCTGCGAGCAGCACAGGCCAGAGCGGCGGCGGCGGCGGCGCGAAGAGGCGGTGGAAGCCTGCGCCAGTTGCGCTCCGCCTGGATCATTTCCTCGTCGTCGCAACCGCCGCCGCACCCGCCACTACTGCTGCCATTCCCGCTGCACGCGCGCCTCTACCGCCGCCTCCGCGAGAGCCCGCAGAAATCGGTTTGAGCGTTGATGGAGCCAGAAATGACGGGCGGCCGCGCGGAGGGGGAAGGGGAGGCGGAACGGGGAGGGGAGTCGCAGGGAGGGGATGGGAATAGCTGGATACTAGCGCGTGTGGTTTGGGTTCGGCGGAAATGATGCGAGGGGTGGGAGAACGGGGGGCAGGAGGGCGGAAGAGGGGAGAAGGCGCAGGCGGACGGGTGGGGACAGGTGGGGACGGGCGGGAAAAGGGGAAAAACGGGGGAAAGGTGTGAAAGGGCGTGCGCGAGAGAGGCTGCGTGGAGACGCGCTGTGGAGGGATGGGTGAAGGCAGCAACGTGGGAGAGCATTGGTGTGAGGCGGGGGATGGAGAGGCAGACACCGAATCAGAAGCGAGTGAGCCGCTTGAAACGCATGGTGGTGCTGGCGAGACAGGCGCGCGAGCGTGGGCGGCACTGCGAGCGCGTGGGCAGCAGCGCGCGCGCAGGTGGCAGCGTGCGCAGCAGCGCGAGTGTGGGGGGAGGGGGAGATGGGGGAGGGGTGGATGGGGGAGGAGGAGAGGGGGGATGGGGAGACGGGGACCTCAGGGTGAACGACGCATGGGAGCAGCGAGCTGTGAGGTGGCGCATCCCCTGCATCCCCCTCTCCCTCCCCACCCCCCTCTCCCTCCGCATCCCCCTCTCCCTCCCCACCCCCCTCTCCCTCCGCATCCCCCTCTCCCTCCGCATCCCCCTCTCCCTCCGCATCCCCCTCTCCCTCCGCATCCCCCTCTCCCTCCCCACCCCCCTCTCCCTCCGCATCCCCCTCTCCCTCCGCATCCCCCTCTCCCTCCCCATCCCCCTCTCCCTCCCCATCCCCCTCTCCCTCCGCATCCCCCTCTCCCTCCCCACCCCCCTCTCCCTCCGCATCCCCCTCTCCCTCCCCATCCCCCTCTCCCTCCCCATCCCCCTCTCCCTCCCCATCCCCCCCGCAACGACGCATGGGAGCAGGGAGCTATGAGGCGGCGCATGCTAGTGGGGTTGAAGGAGGTGGGGCAGGTGGGCAAGGCTCAAGGCTGGAGGAGATTTCCTTGTGTTTCCTCATGTCCGCCGCATGCAGGGAGCAACGAGGCGGCGGGTGCTGGCGGGGCAGGCAGTGCGCAGTGGGAGGGCTGTGGTGCTGGCGCCTAACGTGGCATGGAGGAGGTGCGTGGGAAAGGTTGTGGGAGGGAGGTGAGGGGAGGGAGATGAGGAGGTCAGGAGGTGAGGGGAGGGAGGTGAGGGGAGGGGTAGGTGAGGGGATGGGAGGGAGGTTAGGGGAGGTAGGTGGGGGCGGGAGGTGAGGGGAGGGGTAGGCGAGGGGAGGGAGGTGAGGGGAGGGGTAGGTGAGGGGAGAGGTGAGGGGAGGGAGGCGAGGGGAGGGAGGTGAGGAGGTGAGGAGGTGAGGGGAGGGTGGTGAGAGGAGGGAGGCGAGGGGAGGGAGGTGAGGGGAGGTGAGGGTGGGGTAATGATGGGTGGCGCTGGAGATGCAGGTGTGTGGTGGTGGCAGCTGCTGTGGAGGAGGTGTATGGGGCAGGTGGGGGGGGGAAGGTGCTGGTGGGGGGGGGGGAAGATGCTGGTGGATGGCGATTGGTGGGTTGGGGTAGGCGGTACGCAGTGGAAAGGCCAAATGTGCATTGCACCCAGTGCTGCCACCCAATGGGGAGGGGGAAAGGCGCCTGGGGAAGGTGCGAAAGATGAGGGGAAGGTATGGATGGGAGGCGAGAGGAGGAGTAAGAGTTGTTAAGTGCGTGGTGCTGCTGCTGGCTATCTGCGTCACCCCTTCACTCGTGCCCATCACCATCTTTCGTTACCACCCACCACCACACACCACCACCGTGCAGGTATCTGCCTTCACTCACATCATTGACACCCATCCTCACAACCCCCTCGCACCCGCCAGGATGACCTTGCCATGGGCTGCTGTCGGCAGGCTCTGGGACACATGCGGTGAGTGTTATGCCCACTAACCATGCCCACTAACCATGCCCACTAACCATGCCCAGCTAACCATGCCCAGCTACCCATGCCCATTCACCCATATCGCTTCACACATGCCCATTCACCCATGTCCCTTCACATATTTCCCTTCACTCATGCCCATCACCATCTTCCGTCACCACCCACCACCGCGCACCACCACCCACCACCACACAACACCACCATGCAGGTATCTGCCTTCATGCGCCCATCCTCTTCCACGCCTTTTACCAGGTAAGCTGTGGGGGCGGTGTGTGCCTTTCAGGGAATCACCAGGTAAGCTGTGGGGGCGGTGTGTGCCTTTCAGGGAATCACCAGGTAAGCTGTGGGGGCGGTGTGTGCCTTTTAGGGAATCACCAGGTAAGCTGTGGGGGCGGTGTGTGCCTTTCAGGGAATCACCAGCGAAGCTGTGGGGGCGGTGTGTGCCTTTCAGGGAATCACCAGGTAAGCTGTGGGGGCGGTGTGTGCCTTTCAGGGAATCACCAGGTACGCTGTGGGAGCGGTGTGTGCCTTTCAGGGAATCACCATGTAAGCTGTGGAAGAGATGTGTGCCCAGATAAGCTCTGCAAGTTGCATGAGCTCTGCTGTCACATCCGTTGTAGTCTAGTTGGTTAGGATACTCGGCTCTCACCCGAGAGACCCGGGTTCAAGTCCCGGCAACGGAAATTGTTTTGTCTGTCTTTGGAAGGCGCACTTCAGTATGTGGTCACAGGAGACACAACCCAGAACATTGACAGTGTGTGTTGTGCACAATTGACCTCACAGGGTTCCTCTTGCCTCCCGGCGTCCAAACAAAGTGGTTTTGCAATTGAGAGGGAGCGATGAGGGCGCGAAGGAGCGATGAGGGAGCGAGCGAGACGAGGAACCACTAGGCATACAAGGAACCACGAGGCATACAAGGAACCACTAGGCATACAAGGAACCACTAGGCATACAAGGAACCACTAGGCATACAAGGAACCACTAGGCAGACAAGGAACCACTAGGCATACAAGAGATAGTTAAGAAATCCACTTTCTCGGCTACGCCATGCTGCCCTGCCCTGCCCTCCCATGCTTCTCTGTCTTCTTCCTGTCCCCTTACCTTGTTTGATGCCCCCTTTCACTCTGCTCCCTACCACCAACCCCTTCAAAACCACTTGGCGTACAAGAAGGACCCGAGCAACCTTCCCTGCTATTCCATGCTGCCTCTTGCTGCTTCTTTTGGTATCTTCCTTTCCCCTTGCCTTTCGGTCACCTGCCCTTTGCTGTCCCGTCCTCCCCAACTTCCCGCACCCCCTTTAGAACCACAAGAAGGATCTCAGAAACTTCTTTCCCAGCTATGCCATGCTGCCCCCTGCTGCTATCTTTGCTCCTCTTCCTCTCCCCTTACCCTTTCTGCCCCGTTTCGGCCCATCTTCACCCGCCTCCGCCTTCAGAACCACGGGGCGTACAAGAAGGAACTAAAAAACCTTTTTCTCGGCTATGCCATGCTGCCCCAGGCTGCCTCATCTCTAGCCTCGTTTCTCAAACCCTTTTTGTTCCCTTTCAGCCCATCCCCTCAACCTTTCCATCCCTTGCCCATCTAGCCCTTTCTCACCCCCCCCCCCCCCTCTTTCAGGACCATTGGGCGTACAAGAAGGATCCCCGACATCTCTTTCACCATGGGGGTTACACCATGCTGCCCCCTGCTACTGCCTTTGCGCCCCGCCGCCCCTCGGTGGGCGGAAGAGAAGGGTGAGAGGGAGAGTGGGTTTTGGCGGCGAATCTTTTAGGTCGGATTGTTCAGTACAGTGTTGTTGGCAACCTTGTGAATTAGAGAGCGGTGAGCAATGGTGGTTGGGTGGGATGGAGCACAAGAGGGGGAGAATGGCTGGTCGGGGGCGGTGGACATGGACATGGTCGGTCGGAGTGTTCAGTACAGTGCTGTTGGCAATGCCATGAATAGGAGAGCCGTAAGTGATGGTGGTTGGGCGAATGGAGGAGCACAAGAGGGGGAGAATAGCTGGTTGGGGGCGGTGGACATGGACATGGTCGGTCGGAGTGTTCAGTGCAGTGCTGTTGGCAATTCCATGAATAGGAGAGCCGTAAGTGATGGTGGTTGGGCGAATGGAGGAGCACAAGAGGGGGAGAATGGCTGGTTGGGGGCGGTGGACATGGACATGGTCGGTCGGAGTGTTCAGTGCAGTGCTGTTGGCAATTCCATGAATAGGAGAGCGGTAAGTGATGGTGGTTGGGCGAATGGAGCACAAGAGGGGGAGAATGCATGCTTCGCACGGTGGATTTGATTGGTCAGCGCGTGCAGTACAGTGGCGGTGCTGGCAATGTCGTGAATAGGAGAGCGGTAAGTGATGGTTGTTGGGCGAATGGAGCACAAGACGGGGAGAGGGTGGAACAGGACCCTTGTAGTTCGGGCGGCGGACTTGCGCGTGCAGTACAGTGGCGGTGTTTGCAACGTTGGGAATAGGAGAGCGGTGAGCAATGGTTATGGGGAGGGAGGAAGGAGGGTTTGGGGCAGTTTGTTGGAAACAAGTGATTTATAACGCTTCTGTCGTATCGAAGCTTCGACACAAAACGGAACTGACTACAGCGAAAAAGCACTCGAGTCAACCAAGGCAACCGTCGGAGGTTGCGCGAAGATCAAAGGTCTCCGACCTTTGACCTGACGAAAAGTACAGTGCGACAGCAAGGACACATAACTGACTCGTTACAGAGCAGTTACCCGAGTCGGCACTGTATCGAACTGCAACGGCAAAAAACAGTTAAAATAGAACTTTCCATATTCATTTGTAATCATATAAAAACCTTGTACTTCTCTGCTATTATCAACTTATCTTGTTCTCACACACCAGTACAAGGTGGTTCACGACAACTCTTCATTAAACGCTTCCGCTATTACATCTCTGCATCAACACCCGATCTTAATCCTGAAAGTTCCTAAGGGCTTTTCTCAGCCCAACATAGTATGAGAGCAAGGCATGACAAGATCATTTTTCAACTTTTTACAACACAAATCATGGCTACACAAAAGGAGAGGAGCTCCTCCAACGGATCTCTCGGCACTACCCCCACTCCACCTCCAGCCTCTGGCCTACAGACAGAAGAAGGCACAAGACCAGCTGCAGAGTCAACGGAAACTCCCGTGAATCAACAAGCAGGCTTCGACCCAAACATGATGGAGACGTTCTTCTCCTTCATGTCCTTTTACGAGCAACATCAGCAAGCAGCTCCTGCGCAATCGAACAACAGCAACAACAACAGAGCAACACCAATGAGTCTTGATGGTTCATCGTACGCGCGCGGAAATCAACAACCTACCTTTGCTCCGTATGAGCCTCAACGCGGCTCTGTGAGTTTCGCGCCGCATCCGCAGTCTTTACCTGGACAAGAGAAGACGGCAGCTCCCCATTTTCTGTGGCCGTTCGCGGTTCAGTACGCGGCGCATCAGATCAACCTTCAGCCCCGGGTCTCGATGCCGGAGACCTCCCCTACTCTGCGGTGGACGGGGAAGGTTGACGATGCGTCTGCGTTCCGTGTCTGGGGATCTCGAGCTTTCGTCCGTGACTTGTCTGCGGACAAGCTGTCCTCCCGTGCTGTTCCTTGCGTCTTCCTTGGCTTCCCCCCTGAGGCGCCTGGTTGGCAGTTTTACCACCCCACCTCGCGCCGTGTTCTGTCCTCCTAGGACGTCACGTTTGACGAGTCGGTTCCGTACTACCGTCTCCTCCCCTACCGCGCTGCTCCCCTCCCCCCCCGCCGCTCTTCCTCGCGCCCGGTCCCCCCCCCGGTAGACCCCCTCCCCCCTCAAGGTCCTGCCCCCTCAGGTGTGTCCCAGGTAGACGCAGTCGAGCCTGTCGAGGTAGCTGTTGACTCTGGTGCTGCTAGGGTTGCTGAGCCTGAGCGTGCGGAGCCTGGGGGTGCTGGGTCTAGGGGTGCTGAGCCTGAGCGTGCGGAGCCTGGGGGTGCTGGGTCTGGGGGTGCTGAGCCTGGGGTTGCTGAGTGTGGGGGTGCGGAGCCTGACGGTGCTGGGCCTGGAGGTCCTTCGGGTGCTTCGTCCCGGCGGGAGCTACCCTCTCCTCAGGAGCTGCGCGAGTGGTTTGCTCGGCGCTGGAGCCGTGCTGCTGGAGCTGGTGGTGCTGCCGGTGCTGGAGGTTCTACTGCTGCTGGGGGTGCTGGAGCCACGGGTCCCTGAGGTGCTCGTACTGGAGGTACTGGAGCTGCTGGGCCTGGTGGTGCTACTGGTGCTGGAGCTGCTGGCGGGGCTGGAGCTGGCGGTGCTGCTGGAGTCGGTGCTCCTGGAGGTACTGGCGCAGGAGCTGCTGCGTCTTCCGGTGGTCCTACTGGAGCTGGAGCTGCGGGAGGTACTGGAGCTGGAGGTGCTGCTGGAGCCGGTGCTCCTGTGGGTGCTGGAGTTGGCGCTACTAGAGCTGCTGGAGGTGCTGCTGGTGCTGGTGGTACTGCTGGAGTTGGAGCTGACGCTGGGGGTGCTGGTGCTGTCCCTGCTGGTTCTGGAGGCGCTGCGCGGCCGCAGCCGTACTTCGTTCCGCTCCTTGAGCAGGTTCTTGGTCTTCCGCCTTCTTCTGGTCCTGCTCCTTCCTTAGAGTGTCCACCGCCTGTCCAGTCCGAGTCACAGTTACAGCTGGCCTCCCCACTGCCTGCTCCTTCTCCCTACGCTGGTCCTACTGGAGGTCTTGCTGAGCATCGTGAGCCTGAGTTGCGTCCTGCGTCACCTGTTCGTGCTGCTCGCACTGGTCGTCGTGTTCCACGTCAGCGTCCTCCTGCGGTCCCGGGCACGCACCAGATGGCACAGCGTCCTTCCACTGCCTCGCAGCGTGTCCCTTTGCCGTCTCCTCCAGAGTCCTCTCTTCCTGCTCTTGCTGACCCGGAGTCTGACTCCCTTCGTGCTGCCAGTCCTACTGTCACGCGTCTCCTGTCCTTCGTCTAGCTACTGTTGTCACTGACACTTCCTTTGAGTCCACTGCTGTGTCTGCCTTAGTTGCTGAGCTTGTCGACTTCGCTGCTCACTGTCGTCTAGACTACGCCGCTAGTCTTGTTGCTGAGTCTGAGTCTGTCTGTCCTCCGTCCGTCGGGGGTGAGTGTGCTCTTAGCACGGACGTCCTTGAGGACAGGCAGGAGGAGTTCCAGTGTTTTGCAACTGCTTTACCTCATCTCGTGTCCATGCTGCTTGCCCCTGAGGCAGACCCGGATGCATCAGACATCCCGACCCCGCGCTCTTACGCAGAGGCGATAGAGGGTCCCTACTCCTCTCAGTGGCAGTCAGCCATGGACGCAGAGATGGCTTCCTCGAAGTCCACAGGCACCTACGTCGACGAGGTTCCCCCACTTGGGGCGAACATCGTCAGTGGCATGTGGATTTTCAGGGTGAAGCGGCCGCCGGGTTCTCCGCCTGTCTTCAAGGCGCGTTACGTGGCTCGAGGCTTCAGTCAGCGGGGAGTTGACTACTTTCAGACCTTCTCCCCGACCCCGAAGATGACCACTCTTTGGGTTCTGCTGCACGTCGCTGCTCAGCGTGACTACCAGCTTCACTCTCTTGACTTCAGCACTGCTTTCCTACAGGGCAGCCTGCACGAGGAGATCTGGCTGCGCCGCCCACCTGGCTTCACTGGGTCGTTTCCTCCTGGTACCCAGTGGAGCCTCCGGCGGCCAGTCTACGGTCTCCGCCAGGCGCCCCGTGAGTGGCACAACACACTGAGGACTACGCTTGCGGCTCTTGGGTTTGCTCCTTCTACTGCTGACCCGTCGCTGTTTCTGCGCACCGACACTTTGCTGCCGCCGTTCTACATCCTCGTGTACGTCGACGACTTGGTCTTTGCTACTGCTGACACTGCTGGACCCGCCCACGTGAAGTCCGAGCTACAGAAGAGACACACGTGCACAGACCTGGGTGAACTGCGCAGCTATCTTGGCTTGCAGATCACCCGGGACAGAGCACGCCGCACCATTACCCTGACTCAGTCACACATGGTGCACCAGGTCCTTCAGCGCTTCGACTTCACGTACTCCTCGCCTCAGGCCACTCCTCTTTCTACTCGCCACTCGCTCTCAGCTCTGCCTTCGGATGAGTCCGTAGAGCCGAGTGGCCCATACCCAGAGCTTGTTGGCTGCCTCATGTACCTGATGACCTGCACTCGACCTGACCTGGCATACCCTCTTAGCATCTTGGCATGCTATGTTGCTCCTGGGAGACACCGACCAGCGCACATGGCTGCAGCGAAGAGGGTGTTGCGCTACTTGTGCAGTACGTCGGGCATGGGGCTAGTGCTTGGAGGGCGGAGTCCAGTGGTCCTCACTGGTCACGCAGACGCGTCTTGGGTTGACGACCTGGCTACGCAGCGGTCGTCACAGGGTTACACCTTCAGCCTTGGTTCCGGCTCTGTTTCGTGGCGGTCTACTCGCTCGTCTTCTGTTCTCAGCTCTAGCTGTGAGGCTGACATCTACGCAGGGGCCATGGCTGCACAGGAGTTACGCTGGCTCACCTACTTGCTGACTGACCTGGGAGAGCCGCCTCGTTCTCCTCCAGTTCTGTACGTAGACAACAAGGCCATGCTGGCATTGTGTCGGGAGCACAGACTGGAGCACAGAACGAAGCACATTGCTCTTCGCTACTTCCTTGCTCGTGAGCTGCAGCAGCGTGGTCAGCTGCGCCTTGCTTACGTGGCCTCTCGGGCCAACACTGCTGATATCTTCACCAAGGCACTTCAGCCTTGTGATCATCAGCGCTTCTGTACTATGTTAGGTCTTGTGCATACTTGGCCTCACTTGCTCACGTCTTGACTTTGCTTGTACTGTGATCTATATATATATATCTGCACTTGTATGTTTAACTTTATATGTATATAATCCTGCATGTGAACTGGTTTTGTGGCCTTTGAACTTGTGCTCGGAATGTGTGGTGACGTTGTGATCCACCCTGAGCTTGCTTTGCTTTGCTTGACTGGTCTTGTGACCTCTTGTTCTCCCCCACTTTGCCTATGGGGGTGTGTCAAACATTCATCATATAGCTTGTCTAGGCTATAGTGGGGTAGACACTAAAGGGAACAGTTTCCTAGGGTTTCGCACTTGTACCCAACCTTGTTCTAGTTTCACTCATTCCTCTTTCTTCACAACAGGTTCTTCAAATGGTCGTATGCCAGTTCGGCGGAGTTGCCGTATCCTCGATAAGAACGAATGTTCTGTTGCTCGTTTGGCGTCAAGTTTCAAAGAGGTATTGTATACGCCATCAGTGACTGAGACGTGTATTGCTGCTTGTCGTACTGTGTCCCGTGTGCTG